GAAGCGGACTAGGATTGTGAAGCTCGAGGCTTAGGTCGCTAGTTATGAGTTCGATGCTCGAGCTGATAGCTTCGAGTTCGTTGCTCGATTTATCGGACTTAGATAAAACGATTAGGTCGCGGAGGATGATCCGTTTATTATGAGAAAAATGGTTAAGTTTTTTAGCTCAACTTTTTTTAGTTTTTAGAATATGGATCGAACTGCTTTGCGGTGAATTTTTGGTATTCGAAGTGGAGTTTGCTTTCTTTTGAGCTAGGCATTTCTCAGTTTCGGCTTTGAGATGGAGAAGGGGGTTCGATTTTATTCTGAGTTCCGAACATAGGGCTTAGTCATCCCTGTCGAACTGCGAGCTGCGTTGGGCTCGTTGATTCGAGGTCCGGAGCTCCGGTTATGGTCGGAGTTGAATTGTAAATCTGGCCGCACCTGTGAAGTGGAGTAGGACTCCGAACTTAGCTGTTTTGTGAAAAGAGAGGTGTGTACCTTGTGTTGTTTGGAAAGGTATCTAGGATAGGTGGCTCCCCATCCCCACCCCCCCCCCCTCTCCGAAGGAGTGAGGTACGTGTGTACTGTAGCTGGCTTATGTCGAGGTGTGGGAGGTTGGGAGTGCTTGGGCTTCGAGGTCGGTGAAATAGGACTTTGGCTTTGGCACATGTCCTGGTCCGATATTCGATGTCGTACTCGCTGAGCTCGATGGCCCATTTTGCGAGGCATCCTGATTGGCTGGGACTGTGGAGTATAGTTCGCAAGAGTTGCGAGATCATTATCACGATTGAGTGCGACTGCAAGTAAGGTCGAAGCTTGGGTGCTGACATTACTACAGATAGCGCTAATTTTTCCATAGCTGGATACCTAGTCTCGGCATCGGTAAGTGTTTTACTTACGTAAAAGATTGGTTTCTGCTTGTTGAGCTCCTCTCGAACCAGTACGCCGCTCACTGCAGCTGGAGAGACCGTTGTCTAGAGGTACAGGGGGTTCTCCTTCGACTGGTTTAGCTAGGATAGGGGGCTCGGTGAGATAGATTTTGAGTTGGGTTAGTGCCTCCTCGCATTTCTCGTCCCATTGGAATTTTTTGTTTCCTTTAAGGAGCTGGTAGAATGGGAGACATTTGTCGGTTGACCGCAAGATGAATCTAATGAAAGCTGCAACTCGACCGGTCAATCGTTGTACTTCCCGAGTTGTTTTGGGAGATGGCATTTGGAGGAAAGCCGTGATATGCTTTGGGTTCACTTCGATTCCTCGTTCGGTTACTAGGTAACCGAGGAATTCGCCTAAGGCGACTTCGAAGGTATATTTAACTGGGTTGAGCTTCATCTCGTATTGGTTTAAAATTTTGAAGCACTCCCTAAGTTACGCGACGTGGTCTGTGTCTCTCGCATACTTGACCAACATGTCGTCTATGTAGACTTCCATGGTTTTACCGAGCTGATTAGCAAACATTTTGTTCACTAGTCTTTGATAGGTTGCTCCTGCGTTTTTCAGGCCAAAGGGCATTACTTTGTAGCAGTAGGTACCTCGATCAGTAATGAAAGCTGTTTTTTCTTGGTCTTTCGGATTCATCTTGTTCTGATTGTATCCGGAGAAGGCGTCCATGAAGGACAAGAGTTAGTGGCCAGTTGTGGCCTCGACCAGGCGGTCAATGCGTGGAAGTGGGAAGCTGTCGTTTGGACATGCTTTGTTTAGGTCGGTGAAGTCGACACAGACTCTCCACTTTCCATTTTTTTTTTTGACGACCACGGGGTTCGCTAACCAGTCGAGGTATTTCACCTCTCTGATTAATCCTTCTTTGAGTAGTCGGTCTACCTTGTCATTGACTGCTTTAGCTCAATCTGGGCCGAGCTTGCAGCGTTTCTGTCTGACGGGTTTGATGGTTGGGTCGATGTTGTGTTTGTGTGCGGCGACCTCTGTATTGATGCCCGGCATATCAGCAGTGGACCATGTGAAAGTGCTTATGTTTTCTTTTAGAAAACTTATTAGCTCGATGCAGACTGTTTTCGCAAGGTCGACCCCGATTTCAACGCACCTTTTGGGATTGGTCTCGTCTATGCATACTTGCTCGATCAGTTCTGTTAGGTTCGCATAGAGATGGGTCTTTATTATGTTTGAGTTGTCGGACTGCGAGCTCTTCTTCTTTCAGTAATTGCTATACGGGAGCTTTCTCGGCTCGCAAGAAGCTGCCCATGTAGCAATCCCTTGAGACTCGTTGGGAGTCGCGTATCGATTTGGTTCCCCAAGGAGTTGGGAGCTTGACACATTTGTGGTATGTAGAAGCTACAGCTTTCATCGCGTAGAGCTATGATCTGCCAAGTATAGCGTTAAATGGAGTTGGGCAATCTACGACCACGAAGTCAATTGTTCTTATGACTCTGCCGGCCTTAACTGGAAGATGGATGGTTCCTAACGAGTAGGTGGTTTCTCCGGCAAAGCCGGTGAGTGGAGTTCGATTGTTTGACAGCATGGATATTTGGTATCCCATGCGTCTAAAAGCGTCGAAGAACAGCACGTCTACCGAGCTCTCAGTATCGATCATGACCCTTGTGCCTTTGACGAGTTTCCGAGTACCTTTAACATGTGTCCTCCCGCGGCCTTATGGAGCCTGGTTGAGCTAGAGCTCGATGGTTCCCTAGGTGCGGGGGGGGGGGGGGGGGGGGGTGATTACTGATTTCATTGATCCACCGCATAGGTTTAGCTCTCTGAAGATCAGGTCGATCCTTTTTCTCGCTGATGGAGGGGAATCAGGGATTTGAACCTCGACTTCAACTTCACGATCTCGTTTTTGAGGTGCATTGTCAGGGTCCATTTCCCTGTTTCGAGTCGAGGTCTTTTTGAGCTTTTCGCTTTTTCCCTCGGCCATCTCGGCTTTTTCGTTAAGATTCTAGCTCAAGTTTGACATTCCTCGGTGGAATGTCCATTCTTTTTGTGGTGCTCGCAGTATTTGCTCTGGTCGAAGCTCGACTCTTTTTCAGGGGACGAGCTTTCTATAGCATATGAATGCTGACCTTTGCCCTGCGGCTCCCTTTTAGGAGGTGGAACATTAGCTTTCTTAGACCCGGAAGGTGCAAGGTGGAGTTGTGAGTTACAGTATTTTGCTTCGCAGGCAGCTGTTTCGTCTTCGAAGTTAACATATATGGAAGTGCGATGGAGCGCGTCATCGAGTGAGTCCATAGGTCGGAGCATGAGCTCCGCCTTGAACCTCGACTGATACCAGAGGTTTGTTCGGAAGGCGAGCAGGGCTACTGCTTCGTTAGGGTTAGCGATTTTTGCTTTGATCGCCTTGAATTTAGCGATGTATGATCGAAGCGGTTCGTCTGGAGCTTGGACTAGCTTCCAGAGATCGGCTTCGGTTTCTCGTTTTTGATGAATATCGGATATTGCTTGAGGAAGGCTACTGCAAGCTCGTTGAAATTCGAGATCAAAATTTCTTTCGGCGTTGCAAACCATTCCTGGGCTGGTCCGAGTAAGTTTTTGGCAAAGAGTCTGCAATATCCTGCTTCCTTCTCCTTTGGAGAGAAATTAGCTCGGATAGCTGCGAGGTTGAATAGTCGGATATGAGCTTTTGGGTCACTATTTCCAGCGTACTCCGGGACTCGTACTTTAGTAGTGTCTCAGAGGTACGTGTTCATGATCGAGTAGGTGAATGGAGTTTGTTGGGTCTCGTGAATTACTCGATCGATGTTGGGAGCTGAGCTCGTGGCTTGATGGAACATGGAGTTCATCTGCCGAATAGCGTAGTCGGTCTGATTCTGGAATCTTTCAAAAGATTCGCAGTTCACTAGGTTTCTCGAACCGACGCCAAGGTGGTTAGCCCGGGTCGAATCGTTCGGAATATGAGTTCCGAGTTGTTGGTGAACGAACCCTATAGGTTGTTTGCGGATCCCGTCAGGAAGTCATAAGCTCGAGGTCGTGTTCAGTTGTTGGCCGAATTAGGGTGGTGTCTGCGAGTTCGAGGCGAAGGCCGAGGATCCAAGCCATCTCTGTCGAGGTGGCTCGGTTCCAGGTGATCTTAAAGGTGGAGATGGATATCTAGTGTTGGGACGGGGTCCCATTTCGGGCATTCTTGGCGTTGGCACAGGCGGAGATGGATATCTCGTCGCGGGACGAGGTCCTATCTCTGGTATTCCCGGAGCCAGAATATCCGTGGCGACTGGTGTCTGGTTCACCGTGGGGGCGAAATTCAGTGAACCTGGAGCACATAGAGGTGTCACGTAAGGTCCGGGTGGATTACTCGGAGCAGTAATCGACGAGAAGTCGAGCTGAGTCCGCAGAGGTGGACTCGCAGCGAATTGAGCTACGGCTTGACGCCTTTCCTGTCTTTCTAATCTGATCTCCTGATCTCGTTGTCGATCGATCAGATGTGTGAGCATTTGGAGTATTTCTGCCGATGTGCTCCTAAAAGCTGCGGATATCTGCGGGGAAACAGGAGCTGCTCGGCTTTGATGCCGAAGCTGTAGGTGAATTCTCAGATCGCACCCAGGTTCGAGAGGGAGGCCTCTCGACTGTTTATGACTGGTTACTCGTTGTACCCGGTGGGGTGACGAGGTTGATCACAATCGGTTCCACATGGCTGGGAACGTTAGAGTTCGTGCTGGTGGTGTTGACGAGGGTCGTAACCCTAGGGTCGTTTCCGCTGGCTTTCTGGCTGACGTTGCCGGTCGGGGTAACTTGATCTAGATCAGAATCGGTGAGACGTTTCCCGAAGTTTGTTGAGTTAAATTCATTTCGGTTTCAGCTGGCTTACGATCTGCTCTTGAGTAAGAAAAATCTATAGATTTGTCCCATGGTGGGCGCCAAAATGTGGATACAGAAATTCACACTCAGAAATTTATGTGTTTTGTAAGAGAATAAACTTTAAGAAAATTAAAGGTTAGATTTTCTCGAACAGATTGACCGTATAAGCAAGCACTAACTGAAATAAGGATTTGATTATTAATCAGTCGAATGAAACGGTTACAAAGATTTCGATAGAAAAGATGAACTGACAGAGCTCTGAGAGCAATTATAGAGTTTTCGGATGTAAAAAATATGTGAAAAGATCAAGCCGAAGGTGGCTCGAACTAAGCCGTTCTCCTCCTTTATATAGCTCGCCTCATCAAACTTCGAACTCCAGCGCGTATCTCGGCCACGTGCAGCAGCTTCAGCCAGAAATCTCCCCACGTGCAGCAACCTCCTGCGATCTTCAGACTCGTTTAAACTGGTGAGAATATGCTCTAACTTGGTTCGGATCCTTCCTTGTTTCTCTGGATTTGGTTGAGCTGGAGCGTCTTACTGCTTAGGATTAGATCGTTAAGAGGCGAATGAACCTGGGCCGTAGAGTCAAAGCCCAATCCATTTAGCTTAGTTTGGACCTGCACGTAACAATCCTCTGCTCCGCAACAATCGTAGAACTTGGCTGCATACGGTGGATCATCTGGTCCCAATTCATAGTACCTTCAGTTGTCAATAGAAAACATGTTTAATTAATTAAACTCTTCCTAAGAAAAAATTAAATCAGACAGATGCATCACACTCTAGTCGATTCATTAATGTTCAGTTTGGATCACTATCACCTTGGAACAAACACACATGAAATAACAAATCTCACGAACTAGCAAGAATATGAATACCAAAACCAATAAGCATCAACACCAGAAATAAACTCGTTTGCCACACATAACAATAGCCACCTGCTCTTTATTTATACCATTACCATTTCTTAATTACTATATAATCAGAAAGAGAGAATCAGATGATATTCTCCAAGATGTATCGTCACCTGCTCTTTATCTATAACATTACCATTTCTTTAAGTAGCAGAACCAATGTAGAGCACTTGATGGAAAATTGTAGAGATTATGTGTTATCTTCACTACTTGGATGTATTCTAGGTTGAAGAAATATCAAAATGTAGAAGAAATCACAATCGGATATGATCCTAAACAAAGTTAAAGTACTTGCTCAAACGAGTACTTAACTTTCAAGGGTACAAAGACCGTAACCACTGCGATTCTGCAGCTTTCGTCTCGAAGCTAAAGACTCGAAATAGCTGAACGAACTGATTCTCAGTCTGTCGGAAAAACCAGGTTAGCTTGAACAAGTGTACTTCGACTTTGTTCAGGATCCTAGGAATTTGTGTTTTTGACTTGGATTTGAATTTTACTGCGATTTCTTCTACATTATGCAGTGCATATCCCTCATTTAAACATCCAATTAGCATCAGAACGGATCATGATATAGACAACAAACTTGCAACATAGGATCTAATTATTTGCAAAGAACAATTAATTTTGAAAATCAACGAGAAACATGGAAAACCCATAAATGACATTTGAAATTCGAAACCTTGCAAACTATTCAACTGAAATAATTATCAGCCATCAGATTCACCATTATCAAACTGAACGTTATTTAATACCTAATTGAATCACTGAAACTATATAACTTTCAAAACCATCAATCTCATTTTGAATCACTCGTTACTTTAATTTAAGGTTTCATCAGAAATTAGGGAATCAAGTAGTTTGGGATGTATATTTCATGACGATAGAGATTTAGGGTTTTTTAAATATTTTTTTCAAGGGATATAACCTTTTCTGGTCATCGTGGCGACGACAAACGAAGAAGGAAGGATGGAAACGGCAAGAAAAAGCGTCGTTTGAAGAATCTCTGTAGCTTCGCTTGCATCTCTGGCACAACTTCTCTATCTCCTTCGTCTGTGTTTCCGTCTCCATTCTCGATGAACACTGAAAGCAATTCTGAATTCTAAGAATTCCTATGTAACTCAAATGGACCCGATTCCGGTTAAGGGTGAAATTTTCGGTTTGGCTTTTCGGTTATTTGATTATTTATCGGCTTGTAGAAACCGTCTACCAGAGCGGCCAATAGAAGCGATTTAGTGCAGTGGTTGTGAGTTGCTCCAACTAGTCAAGCACCCGAGATTCGAACCCACTATTTCCTTGTGAAACAATGATGATCCTCCTTGTGAAAAAATAGGTGATTTACGAATGTAGCTCTTCTTAGACCAACTTGATATACATACCAATTGTAGTAATTTAATTCGATTGATTTAGTTTGGTTCTTATTGGAAATCAATTATGGTAATTTAAACTTTATACCAGTTCTCATATGATGTATCAGTTGGATTTTTTGAAATTGGTATCCAATAGACCATTTGAAAAGGTCGGCTGCCTCTCAAAATTATATTACAAAACGAAAATCTTAGAATTTTAATAGCTATATATACTCACATATATCTCATTTATCTAAACAACGGCTTAGGTTTATTTATTGATTATTGACGTGTAGATCATAGTTTAGGGTTTAGTTTTTGTTTCATACATTATGTTTTGTTTCTTACGATTCTGATTTTGTCTTCTTGGGTTTTCATTGCGTTGCAGGTAGCTTGCAAGAGAGGATAGTTGATTAGGTTTCATCGTTTCGTTCTAGTGATAGAGCTTCCAAACTTATGGTTGCTAATGGTCGTGAGTTCAGTTTGCAGAAAAGGTATTGCTTCTTAAACTTTTTTCTATTTGGATTCATCGTATGTTGTTTACAACTAATGCTTGGTTATAAAATTTGGTTTTGATTTGTTGAATATGTTGCTTTTCCTGTTGATGCTGTTTATTGCATTGTCTTTTTCGTTTGGTTATATATATATATATATATATATATATATATATATATATATATATATATATCTATTTTTGGCTCTATAGTTATATCTCAGTTTATGTTCTCGGCTGCTCTACAACGTTGGTTTCTTTGTGTATCTTAATTTTTTTCGTCTTATACAGTAAGCATACTCGGATGACTATCTTGCCTTTCCATCTACCGAGGAACCAGGATATCATTTTTTCGGAAGATTTTTCACCACCTGATCATGAATATTATTTTCAAAGGTCTCAGTTTCAGGGTTGGATGGAATACAACAAACTCCATCCAGAGTCGAGGCATCTTCTGTATACTGAATTCCCAATTTGGTTTGTTTGGCATAAGAACATCAGAAAATGGCTACCGTGACGTCGTTGTAGGTCTAGGAGAAATGCAGTAGGACTTCCCTATGTGTAGCCAGAATGTGGGGAGCTCGATTACCTCGGGAGATTGTTAGCTGTTGTCAGAGGACCGACGTGTTTTGAAGATATCAGAACGATTAATGGTGTTTTATACCCATCGTTCGCTGGGGCCATTGGAGTATGTTATGATTTGGGATTAGTCGAACGACCTTTTCTTACAAAATAACGAATATTATGATGGTGTTGGGTTTTGCGTTTATGTGTTTTTATTATGTGGTCTATGGCTGGAGTTTTTTTTATTTTGGTATCTAATATATAAGATTTTAATTTACTGTCTTATTATGTATGCCATTGTCGATAATCATTTTACTGTGTAATTTATATAGTATGGTCATGTGTTGTTTTCGGCTTATATGATTGTGTTTGGTTGAAAAAGATGAGACCCATCATATTGGCTTTGTAGAATTTTTGTCGTAAGTTTTATGAGACTGTAAAAATATTATCGTTGGAACGTATAAATGTTAACATGATCTCTGGCATATGGAGTTTTGGTTTGGATAAAGACTATGATATTTGAGACTGGTATCTGGAGTTTTTGCTTCGATAGAAACTATATGATATTTGTAGCATAACTTCAAGAATATTTGTGTCATGCAAGATTTCGAGAATATCCTGTGACATGTGTTATATATATATATATATATATATATATTAAGATTTGTTCCAATCTTTAACTTTATCAAAAATGTTACTTTTTGAGTATTTATCCTTATCAGATGTCTCTAAAAATATATGTTTATTTTATGGGTATACGTGTTATCGTGAGAACGTATAATTGCTAACATGAGATATGGCGTATGGAAATTTTGATTCAATAAAGACTCTATGATATTTAAAACTTTTCTTAGGTGGGATGATATTTGTGATACCTCTTCAAGAATATTTTGTGTCATGCAAAATTTCGAGTATATCATGTAACATGTGTTATATATATATATATATATGTATATATATATGTATATATATATATATATATTAAGATTTGTTCAGACCTTTATCCTTATCGAAATTGTTACTTTAGAAGTGTTATCCTTATCGGACTTTCTCTAAAAATGTTATATATTAATATTAAGGATATCGGTCTTATATATGTAATGTATTGAGAAATATACTATACCTTATAATGTCGGTTATAATTAATGGCGAATATTTAAATCAAACAAAATGTTAGGATAACAGCGTAGCTGTATAGAGCATTGACAAATATCTTGTATCGTGCCTTATAAATATTTTAAAGATTTATTCTAATATTCATCCTTACCGATATTGTTACTTTGTGCATCTTTGGCATTAATGATATATCATGGTTTTTAACCATGATATAAGTCATTTTTATTGAGTCTTTTTGGTCTTTTTAGTCCTAGTAGAGTCTTTGCAGGTTAAAACATGTCTGGAGCATAATTGGAAGTTTTGGAGCTTTTTGGAGCTTGCAAGGTACAACCCCGATTGAAGCAAGTCGGAAGTGATAGGGCTCAGGTTTTACCCAAATAAAACTACTGCAAGTGCACAACAAAAGCAGTTGTAGTACAAGGGGTATCGAATCCCAAGAGAGTAATGCAAACTACACTATCGAATGTAGGTTCGGATTAAGCTAAGCAGAATATAATGTATGTAATGCGAATGATTAAATAAAAGTAAGCAAACAAAATTCAAGTTGTTGATCTAAGTTTCAGAAGACTAAAAGCGCTAAGTAAGGACAATTCGCAGGTTGAATCCAAAAATGTAGAATGCATGAAATCAGGAATGATTAAGGACCGTTTTAAACATGAATCATTGATGTATAACTAATTAATTCTCATTGCAGAAGTTATCTATGCCTAAATCATAGAGTTTCAAATCTCTTTGCAAACCCTAACAACCTAAGCATGCAGGAATGATCATATTCAATTGGTCACAAAACTCCTAAGCCAAATCTCTTTGCACTAAGTTGTTTTGCTCATCAAATACTAGTTCAGGTTATCAATAATGCTATCACATATATTTAACAACCTATGATTTTCGGATTTCTAGATGATGTGTCTAAGAAATTCGATTTTAAAGCAAGCAGAGATGAAAAACCAAAAGATATTCCTAACAGGTAGCGATTCTACAAACTCTTCATCAACCCTTGAAAAAGCCTTAACTTAACTAACAAACTACTCAGACATGGTGATTTAAGAAAACATCATGAAAAGAATAGATTGCATAAAAGAAATAAGAAGTAGAAAGTTAAGGAGTTCAAAATCTGCTCTGAAGGAGTTTGATTTGTCTTTCTAAAAGCTCTGCTACAAATCTTTCTCTAACGCTCTCAAAAAGAATAATAAGATACAATATATGTGCCAAAATAATGGCTGAAAAACCTAATATACAAGCTGAAACACGATCTGGGGCCTTTTTGTAAATAATGGAACTTTTGGGCTAAAACTGCAAATAATCCTCTATCTTTTAGAAAACAGCCACGACCTCTTCCTTTCTGGGTGACGAGCGTCACCAGGTTGGTGACGAGCTTCACCCATATGCATACTTTTCTTTCCGAGTTGGATACTTCGTGGCTTCAACTTGCAATGCTCCAAAAAGCTCCAATATCTCCAATTATGCTCCATACATGCTATAACCTGCAAAGACTCTTCTAGGACTCTAAAAAGACCAAAAAGACTCAATAAAAATGACTTATATCATGGTTAAAAACCATAAAAACCATGATATATCAACTCCCCCAGACTTAGCTTTTGTTTGCCCTCAAGCAAACATCAGACAAAGAACAGGGTCGAGGTTTGAAAACAAGAAACAGTTAGTCAGACATCAAAAACACCACATTAGTTAGAACTTTCAAACCCACATACCATAGAGCCAACACAAGATCAAATTTCAGTCTAATCATCACAAGCTTAGCAAATCTCTCAAGTTCAGTCCAAATCCCTTCAAGAAATCCGAAATTTCTACTGCTAACTCCTTATTTTTATCTAAGTGTGAAGTCTCATCAAGGTTTTATTATCTCAATCACTTACAGATTCTTTTCCCTTCCTAAACAACTGAACAAATCAATTTCAACACAGCTCTCCTATTTTCTCTTCTCTTGATCTTTTCCTTTGCATATTTTCGATTTTCCACTTCTTTTTCTCAACTTTTACAGTCTAAGATATGGTGCTACTCAATACTTGTGTTCCTTATGAGGAGACAGGTTCTTGAGTGTGTTCATTACTGTTGTTCCTTGTGAGGAGACATGGTCATGAATGCACCATTCTTTGGACTTAAGCTTTTAAAACTACATCAGGGAAGATCAAAGAGAGACTATATCTTAACCTTATTGTCAGTGCTGAAAGAGAGAATAAAGATCAATAAGAATCAATCACCAAGATAAGAAGTTTAAGTTTCATTAAGGTGGAGCTAACAGCAAATTTTCCAGATTCTCTAAGAACCTAAACCTTCATTGCTAGACTGATCTACCTATGACTTTCAACTTAGTAAGACTTGTAATCAACTACTGTGGCAATGGTTCTTATAAGCAAAAATGTCATATGGTTGGTTCCAAGAAAAACTGACAATTTCAAAATTATGACTCTATAAAAACAGGTTTTTGACTCAACTTTAAGACTCTATAAACATGACACAAAGCACACAACATCAGTAACCACCTCCCCCAGACTTAAACAACACTGTCCCTAGTGTTATGAAGCCAAGAGTTGGTCAAAATGATGAATGAGAAGTC